CACACGCACACACGCGCACACGCACACGCACAGACGCGCACATACACACGCGCACACACACACGCCCACGCACACGCACACAAGCACACACTGCACGCACGCACACGCACTCACTTGTGCACAGACGTGCGCACACACGCACACACACAAACATGCACACACACACACACACACACACGCACACACGCACAAAGACGCACACACACACACACACACACACACACACACACATGCACACGCGCATGCACATGCGCACGCACACGCAGGCGCACGCGCACGCGCACGCGCGCACACGCACAAGCGCACATGCACACACACACACACCCACACACACACACACAGGCGCACACACGCACACACACACAAACGCGCCCCCACACAGACACGCACATGTGCACACACACACACACGGTCATAAGCATACACACATGCCAACACACACACACTTACACCCATACAGACATTCAAGCAGCCACACGGATACACATACGCACACAAACGCGCACACGCACACACACACACTCGCAAACGCGCACACGCCCACATGCACACAAGCACACACGCACAGACGCACACTGCAGCACACGCACACGCGCACGCGCACGCACACGCACGCGCACTCATACGCGCACGCACGCGCACGCTTGCGCGCCTGCGCGCGCGCACGCATGCGCGGACGCCCGCTCGCACGCCCGCACGCCCGCATTCGTGCACGCGCGCACACGCGCACACACGCACACGCGCACACGCGCACGCGCACGCACACACGCACACACGCACACACGCGCACACGCGCGCACGCACACGCGCACGCACACGCACACGCACACGCACACGCACACCCACACACACACACCCACACGCACACGCACACGCACACGCACACGCACACGCACACGCACACACACACACACACATAGTGTCATAGGCATACACACATACAAACACACACACATAACACACACACATGTACACCCATACAGATATTTACACAACCGCCCAGATACACGTACACACATACAAACATACACACACATACACACATACACACATACACACACACACACATGCACACATACACCCACACAAGAGTCGCGAAGTTTTAAGGTGACAATCAGCAGTGAAGCCTCCGAGCTGGTGCTGTCCAATTTGGTGAGCACCGAAGTGAACGTCGTGCTTTGTCTGCATCAGAATGCGTGTGTCCAATCCAGGCGCCTTTCAAAGGACCATAGATATCGACGATCTTGCGTGCCATCCTATCCGCTTTCGCTTTAGGATGATCCCTCTGACCTTCTATACAGTTCAATAGAGTGTATGAAACGGGTACTGCTTCCTACCGCATGCCGGTGATGGCTCGGGGTCTACTGAAGCATAGGCAAACCGATTCTGCCAGCCCCAGGTGCTCGGAGGCCTGCAGGTGATGTACTACGGGGGCTCGGGCTTTTCAAGCAGGAGGCCGCTCATCCCTTTCTGCTACATTTCATTGACCGAACAGCTTGTTTGCCCGGTTTTCAGCTTTTGACCTTGTGCTTTTCGAGTCTTTGGCCCCATATTTTGTGCAGTGTGTGCTGGCAAGGGTAGAGGTGGCAAAGGCACACTGCCAAAAGAGGTAGCCCATTTGGCAAGAAGCACGGGTGGCCCAGGGATCGAACTATCGTGATCGACTTCTTCGAAACCTCCGACTTCTCTGACCCTGCAACTCTGCTGCACTGTTTCGCGCATGCATAGTTGATACTGTGGATGGTTGCGAAATCCGTTTGCACCACTTTGAAACCCTGGGACACTCATTGCTTGTTGGTTTTTACAGGGGAATCATGATTCCAGGGTTTCTGAGGTCGTGCACGTTTTCGTCCATGTTCATGCACTGTAATCATTACTTGCTTTCTCGTACGTGAACATTGTGTGATACTGGCTGCGCAACGTTGCGGAGAACCGTGCATCGTTGCAGAAGAAGCCTCGCAAATGCTGGGAGAGCCCCGAACACGGTCGAAAATTGCGAGAATGCCAACCCAGTGCAATCCAATCGGGAGGGGAACAAGCCGAGAGCAGGCCCAGGGAGGAGTTTGATGAGAGACCATTTCTTTTCGTGGGGAAAATCAAACATGGTCGACCTGACAAATTACGAAATCCATCGTCTGGGGCAATGGTTTGGTGCGCAAAGATTTCGAGGGAGGCGAATCAGTGACCCAGCTTCAGGCAATTGTGGACGGCCTCTTGCTAATTAGAACTGACAATGGGTTTTCGCTCTCTCGCAAAACAACGGAGCAGCTTGCGGGGCTTTCTGGTGGACCAACGAGAGCCGAAAGGTGGATCAGACCCTCGGACCCGTCGATGAGTTTGACGAGCTAGTCCTGTAGGGGTAATGCAACTGAGTGGTTCTGTTCCATCCTCTTGACCTGGGATGTGTGGGGCACAGGCGCTGCCTTATCTCCAGGTCGGTGCAGAGGCGTTTCAACCACTTTGCAGCTGTTCTCTACATTTGGCTCAGAATTTTGTGGAGCTGGGGCAAACCGCAGGTTTTGGTCTTTGGTTCCATTTGCCAAGGGGCCATTTTGGTACCACATTTTTGAGCCGCAGCCATTGCGGCAACTGTATGATGGCCTTCTCAGGGGCAAGTCTGTTAGCTGAGGACGAGCAGCTCGCAACGATGGCAGGGCTCTCAGCAAGCGACCCCTCAAGCGACCAACACACCGGAGATGCGAGTCCTGCAGAGCACCTTGGGCCAAGCGGGGTTGCCATGCTGCCCCAAGATTCTGGCGTTTTGCTTCGTGTTTTTGTGTCTTTTTTTTTTTTCCCTCGCGGGGCTTCGCATTTTCCGGCATGCAAGCCACACCAGTCAAAGGTTCCCATCTCGGTTGGAACCCTTGGGATCAATCAATCAATCAAGGGTCGTCGGCATGGGTCGGCACGAGTGCAGAGAACTGAGACCTTCTCCTACAGCTGCAAGAAGGAGGGTCGCGGCCTTTGCGCGCAATGGCAAGCCGGTGCTTTCTCACCTTGGCATGCCTTTGCGGGTGCGGGATGTTCTTGAAGGTAACCATTTTGCCGCATATCTGCCTGGATTGGTTAGGCCAATGTGATTGTTGTGAGCAGTTTGCTAGGTGGGGTCCTGCCAGCCTGCGGACCAGTGCATGAAGCGATGCTTACGCAAACGACCGCTGAAGGGCTCAAGCCACGGGCTTGATTGCTACCTGTGCTGATCTCCGCAGCACAGGCTGGGGCCTCGCTTTGGTGGCCTTGACTGAGAGCCGAAAACGAAACGGAACGGTACCATCGGCACTGTCCTGGAACCTTGGAACCGAGCCGTTTGCCAGCCCAACGCATTCTGACCAGGCTGGCGGAAGTGAAATGGCAGATGTGGACAAAGTAGCTCCAGCAACGAAGAGAAGGAAGACAGAGGACAGGTGAGAGCCTTAGCACCTGATTGGCCTCGCCGAGTTTCCAGGATGTTGCCGGTCTGGATGTGGACAATATCTTGGACCAGCTGCTCTTTGTGAGAAAAAGGCGCTGGAAGCCTTGGGCATTTTGGCATTTCAGACCAGAGACGGCGCGTCAGGAACCCTGTCAGCCAAACGGTTAGCTTTCCCGAGGACGTGCATGGATGCACCGTGCTGCGTTCTGGTTTGCAATGTGCCACCTTCTCCTCGGTTCATGCCTTGTTTGAGAGGAGACGGTGAACAACTTGTGCACAGTCGCAATGGGGATCTTCCATCAGCAGGCAATGCTTCTGGAATTGGACGTCTTGGGCTGAGGAAGCAATGGAAACCATCAGGACAGGCCTCTACTCAAATCAGGTGGCCTAGGGACACAAATTAATCTAACTGGCATCTAATGTCAAAGGCTGATTGTATAGGTTCATATATGCATACTTACATTTGTTTGGATTGTTGTATAAATATGGATATATGGCTCCATGGCAATTTTGGAATCTTTGGGGTCTGATTTCCCATAACTAAGCGGTCACGAGCGGTCAATGAACCCACAAACTACGGGTTCATATAATCGGTTCAGCTATGGGCTATGGGCAATCTCCATTCAGCCTTTGAACACGGCATCAGTCCACTTGCTTTGAAAGCCGCACGTGACTGAGTCTCCGTTGAACCTTTGCGGAGATGTGCATGGACAGTGCCTGGCCTTAACGGGATGCGCAAGTGCGGGGCCCGATGCGCAAGGCAGGCGATGAGGTCAATGAGGGCTATGGGGGCTATGGGGGCTATGGGGGCTATGGGGGCTATGGGGGCCAGGGGGCCAGGGGGCCAAGGTATCATGACCTCCTGCGGATTTTTGACAACGGGGGCTATCCGCCGCAGGCGCCATTGATTTGCAATGGTGTTGCAGCTTCGCCCTCCAACTGGGTATCAGGCAAATTACCTGTTCCTGGGTGACTACGTCGACCGGGGAAAGCGGAGCTTGGAAACAATTTGCTTACTCTTTGCCTACAAGGTGCGTTTGCGTTGCACCTTGTAGCAACGCAGCGTGGCGCAATGGAACTTCAGCGTCTTTCTGTCTCCGGGCAGGTGAAGTTTCCGGAGAACTTTTTCCTGCTGCGTGGCAATCACGAGTCGCCGTCGATCTGCAGGACCAGCAGAAACAGCTCACCAAAAACTGCTTGCGGTCTGAAGGCTTCACGCATTGCCTGTTCGATGTTGCCGATGCCCGCTCGCAAGGATATACGGATTCTATGATGAGTGCAAATCAAGATACAGCATCAAGATTTGGAAGACGTTTTGCATCTTGACAAGCCCTGAAAGCTGGCGGTAGTTTCGCATGTATCGCCAAATGCTTTTAACAGCAGGCAGCCTCGTGGCAAGCAAGGCGATGTGTTCAACTACATGCCAGCTTGCGCCCTTATAGCCGACAAGGCGGCCGGTTTGTGCGGTTTTCGCCTTTGCTGAACTGCAAGCAAGCGGTTTTTCCCAGGTGATTTGCATGCATGGCGGGCTTTCCCAAGAGATGATGGACTCCAGCGTTGACCTGCGGAATAAGATCAACGCCATGCAGAGGCCGGGCTGCGCACATGCCCTGCGTTCACTTGGGGCAAAGTGACGAACCAGGCCAGCGGACATTCCAGACGTTGGCTTTCTCTGCGACCTCCTGTGGTCTGATCCGTCTGAGGCGGCATGGCTGTGCCAATCGATTGATCTGCTCATTCTCAGTCAATCCGATCTGGCATGTGTTTTCTTTCTTCTCGTTTTTTCTTTTATTATTGTTAATTTTTTCCCCTGGGACCCATCCAAAGTTTTCACAAAGCGGAAGCTGATTGCGCGGGACGGCGGGATGGCTTCCGTTCCCTCTCGCCACTTGTGTCGGTTGGAGGCGACCTCAGGCTTCGGACAGAACGACCGGGGCGTGTCCGTGTCCTTCGGCACTGATGTGGTCAACAGCTTTCTTCAGCTACACGACCTGGATCTGACGCCCGGAGGAAAACCGGGCCGTTTTTTTCAGGGTGCCCCTTTTAGGGGTTAAGCCACAAGGAAGTCCATTTGGGAAGGCGCACAAAAAATGAGACAGACGAACACCCGTGGCCCTTTGTTCAAATCATGGGGGCAAGGCGTGGAATCGCTGCCATTGTTGTAAAAACAGAGGCGCAACGATGCACCGTACATCCAAAGATTGGCCCTTGACTTGCCTCCATTCCCCAGCTGATCCAGGTGTCAAGCGGCTCTCAACACAACCAGACTTGCCCGAAGAAAACCGATAATGGGCAGTAGGACGTATCGTGACCTGCAACAAGGCCGAGACATGTGGGTGTGGGTCAAAATTAAACACCAGGGGACCGCAGGTTTTAGTCTTGGTTCCATTTACCAGGTCAAGCCATTTTGGGTACCTATTTTTGACCCACACCCATATTGACTTAACCCCTTTGCTTGCCGCCCCGCAAGCATTAGTTGCGGTTGCGTCGCCATTTCCAGTTGTGAAAGGTTGCGCGGTCAGCCGAGGATAGTCAGAGCACACCAGGCAAGAGCGTTCTCAGCATTTTTCGCGCATATCCGTTCTGCCCTGAGGTTGTGGAAGATGGATATGAGTTCTTTGCAAACAGAGGACTCGTCACTTGGCCGGGACGTTTACTTGCTTTGAAAACGAGGCTTGTCAGGTTTTCGGGGTCAGCAGTTTGAAGGGAGCAGGGAGCGTGTGTCAACGTCCAACTTGTCATGTTGTCCTGAGGCTTCCAAAGCATTTTGCTTCTTGCTAGGTCGTGTTTGGGATGGGAGATTGCCGAGGTGACAATCTTCTCAGCGCCGAATTATTGCGGAGAGTTCGACAATGCCGGGGCCGCGCCTTTCTCGCAGCGAGCTGCCATTAAAGCAACGGGACTTAATATGTAACCACCATCTACCTTAGGAGTTTCATCATCCACTAACCGGTAGTTGCAAGGGAGCCAAGGAGCTTTCGGCATCCAAATTTGCTGATAAAACCTTTCGCGGCTACCAGTTCTGGTTCGGGGCATGGTAGTCCAAACAAAGTATGTCCAACCAGGGGCTTTATGGATCCTAGAACCCAAGGGGTGTTGATGTCGGGGGGCTCGAACCCACCGGGGCCATGGGAACTCTACGAGGTGCTCTCCATCGACGAAGAGTTGACCTGTGCCTTCTCTGCGCGAAGCCCAGCGAGGGTGAATGGTGTAAAAGGGATAACACGTGTATATACATATATATATATATATATATTTATTTATGTTATTTATTTATTTATTTATTTGCTTAATTATTTATTTCAGGCATACATATATATATATATATATGCACGTATGTATAGACATGCCATATATATATATACACATCTATGGATGCATGGAGTACTTGTCAACATCATGTTCATATGTGGGCTCTTGCCACCTGGTTTGAGAATCACCCGAATTCTCAGAGAACCTGCAAAAGCCTTGGTAGAGTGAGAGACGAGAGACGAGGCTTGCCAGATTTTGGCTCACTCCAGGTGTTGAAGCCATCACAATCTCCGGTCTGATGGCTGGTGCCTGGCCCCAGATCGACATACGTACCCAGAACCACCTAGGGGACTTGTTACCTCCACGCTGGTGGCATTGGAAGTTTCCGTTGACCGGATTCTGCAAGTCCACTTGTGTGTTGTGCACTTGGAAGCTTTCGTTTGTCCGCTGCTTAGCACAGCAGGTGCGGCTTCTCTATTGGAATCGGTGCGCCCGTTATGCTTCCTGAGCGTTTCGCGCGACACCGCGGGTAGTGGATCTGCCGTCCGAGCAAAAGTCCCGTACCTTACCCATAACTACAGCTGGACCCATACAGAATTCATGTGACCTGACCTTATGGACTTCAACCTTTTAACATGCAGATCCGCGCTGTCACCATGTCCGACAGCCTTGCCGCTCACGGGGGCGATCCCTGCGATCCGGGCGAGCCTGCGGGCCGAGCTTGCCGGGTTGCAACTCGAGGGGCGCAGGTCGGGGCAGCTGAGCATCCTGCCGGCTGAAAACCAGCCCCAAGCCTGCAGCGAGAGGTTAAAGCACGGAGCACCGGGCAAACTAAACCAGGGAGAGGAAGAGGAGCGATCTGAGGTTGTAGGATTCCTGTTCCTGCTAAGAGATGTTAAGAGTCCCGAATTACAACAGGTGCAGTTTCTGGATAGTTGGACAGGGTCCTGCCCGCCGTTGCTCGGGGTGGAAAAGATGCTTAGAGCGCGTTCCAGTAGTGCTACAGCCGGCATGAATCTGTCAGCCAATGCAAAGCCGTGTCTTGCCAAGGCACAGCGGACCCATGTTTCCCATTGCAGGCCTGTCGCTCTAGACACTTGCAACCAACAATGCGACTGTGTCGATGAATGTGTTTCCTTGGGCAGATGGCTTCGCCATCCGACACTTCGTTGGTACCGCCCTGACTATGCATTGCAGATAGCGCATGTGTCACACGTCACGCATGTCACCAGTAGGGGGGAACGGGTGGCCCGTTTCCACTTTTGAATCGTGGCGACATCGCCGGTCCTGATTTGGCTGCATTACGTCTGGATGCCCCAGAGTGGATCTGTGTCTCTTTTAGCACGATTACCGTGAATGGACAACATTCTCCGCACCAGTGCGAAGGTGCTTCACCCCAGTTTTCATGGGGGTTCATCCATCCCAACTGGTGCCACAAGTTGTCCACGGCATGATCCTCCCTTCCTCGTTTCTGTTTTTTTTTGGGGGGGGGGCCCGTTTGTACACCTCGCGCGCTTGCGCGCTCTCCGCATTTTCTCTCCCAGTCGACGGCGGCCTGCGTGGACCTGGCGGACCCACTGTCCAACCCGCCGGGTTTGCCCATGAAGTTCGTGTACCGGAACCAGGACCGGCCTAGGGATGGAAAAATCACGCACAGATTCGACGTCCCACACACGGATGAGCGAAAAATTCATCAAACCCGTGGAGCGGCCCGTGTCTCAAGAGGAAACTGGGGCGTTAGCAGGGCAGGAACAGAGATCCTCATATATATGTCGCTGGCGGATCCACTGGCCCTTGTGTCTCCCCCTTGCCCCACAAGCAACGCTTTGCCAGTCTCACGCCCTCAAGATCTGCAAAGCTTGGATCTGTTCTGTTCTGAGGAGTACAACCATGCAGAGGGCATCAGCGTCGCCCCACTTTCGAATGCAAGCACCTCAGATTCAGTAGACAGGGCCGAGCTTGCTTCAGCCCTTTGGGTCAGGTACAAAAGTATTGCCGAGCAAGCATCACCAGCTTTGTCCAGCAGCCGCGACTTAATGCGTCAATCGATGTGTGTGTGTGTGTGTGAGTGTTTGTTTGTTTCTGAGGGTACCCTTTTCACCTTGGCTTGAGGGGAGACCAGAAGGAAGACCGCTTTCAGGGGTCCTTGATGCGCGCAGTGTTCGCGTGGCAGATCTTTCAGACCATGCTCTTCGATCCTGGGATGTATCTTTTCGCCCAAACCTCAGCACAAATTGTCGCAAGAGTGACACACATTTTTTGTGGGTAGGGATGGCCGGCCATGAGCTTTGCTTTTTTTCGGCGCCGCGTTGCGCAGATCCTGCGTTCGAGGTCACAAATGTGTCCAAAGTTGTCAACGGGGTGGAAAGAGTCGACTCGAAGAGTTCACAGCTTAGCCTGCGCAGCTTCTGAAACTAGGTAGAACACGTTCCTGTTCCAAGGCCTTTATTTGACAGTGCTGACTGACACGGAGGTAGACGGAACAAGGCATGGAAGATGTGATGCAACATTGCCCTGTTTCGGTCTCATGGCGGTAGATTCGATGCAGGAACCCGTTGCTGGCGGTCTTCCTGGAAAGATTTGAGCTTAGCAAGTCTGGCTGAATGCCTTTCGCAGGATACGCAGTGCCATACAGGCTTCCTTGCAAGGGAATCTGGAGGTATTGGTTGGGGGGTCATTTTCTTCGCGATGTTTTGTTCAGTTGCTCTTGTTGTACCCAACCCTGTACAAACCCACCCTGAACCCAATCCTGTATAAACCCTGAACCAACCCAAACCCACCCGAAACCAGCACTGAACCAAGCGTAAGCCCGGCCCAAAGTTACGCTAAACCCCAAACCCTACAGCCACAACCCAAGCAAACCCTGAACCAACCCTAAAACCACTCTAACCTCAGTTGTTCAGTGGCACTCTTTTCCCCTTTTTTTTTGGGGGGGTGGCTGCCCCACTAAAAATGGTCTTCCCAAAAAAGAGTTCCCATTTTTCCAGGGTCACTGAACAACTGAGTAAACCAAACTCTTGCATCGGGCCGCTGGTTGAAGCTCTGCATGACTAGCAGCCAAGACACATCGCGCCGAAGCACAGCTGCGCAACACCGCTGGAATGCAACTGCCCTTCTTCCGACCAAATCTGGCCGTGTCAGTGGTTCCCACCTGTATTGGTTTCAGTGGCATGAAGCTTACCGACCCATGCAAGGGGTGCCTTGCCAACCAACTTGTACGCCTCACATTGACATGGGTTGTATATGCAAGTCAACCAAAACCGTCCAACACCCTCCAAGATGTTAGCGATGCGAAGTGTCCAAATCCTTCATCTTGATCATTGGACTGCCAGTTGATCAGCTCCAAAGTGACAACAGGTTTTAGTCCTTGGCTCCATTTACCAGGGCAAGCCATTTTGGGGTTACCCCATTTTCGACCCACAGCCAAAACCATCCACCGCCCATGCTGAACAGTGCCATCGCTTGGCCGTTTTAGGCCCACTGCCTGTCTTCCCCGGCGCCACCATCCGCCTGCGCGGAGAGGCCAGGCGGCCAGGCGGCCAGCCAGCTCCCCGCGATTTGTTTGTTTGTTTGTTTTTTGGCCAGAAAAAATCATCAGGGCTCCTTAAAAGATACATTTTGCCCATCTGAAACAGGGCTTTTTCCACCAAAATAAAGGGAAACCACCATTACAAGGCAACACTCACTCCACTCACTCCACTCACTCCACTCACTCCACTCACTCCACTCACTCCACTCACTGCACTCACTGCACTCGCTCCGCTCACTACTCACTCCACTCACTCCACTCAGGTGTATAATGTAAGGATGGCTGTTCGTTGGCCAGCTCCTTTTGGCTCAACTACGTCCATTTGGTTAAGATTTATTTTTGTTTTCCCCTGTTGGTTTTAAAGGGAATCTATCACTACTGGACATAATTTTACTTTTTCCCAGGGGACTGAAGCAAATGGAGGACTAGCTTTGACGAATGCTTCGTTGAGTGGTTGAGGAGGACCTACCGCCAGCTTAGGTGACGAACCCACAAAACGACACCGTGTACTCATACTATTGGACAGCAGCTGCCCGAGTTCACTTGGGCGAAAGCGTGCACGTTGCTTGGTACAGGCACGTCGCTTGGTACAGGTTGCTTGAAGAATCATTCCCCCCCTTGAAGACTAACCTCAAAGATTGAAGGGGTATTTTGGGGGTTGGGGGTGAGAAATTCCATTGTTCCATTCTTGCTTGAGGCCTATCGCTTCGGTCTCAACCCTGCCTACGATGCAGAAGCAAACTCCTTTGATCCGAACTACGCCGTGGTGCAGTACACATGGGCACCGGCCTTGTTTGGGCTTCTTAACGGCCAAGTCGCGAGAGAACACGCGCGCATGGACGGCTGGGCTTAGGTGGAGCTGTCAGCTGTGGATTTCAACGTGAGCGATCCACAGCAGGCCATGGCCGCATCGCGCCCTTGCAAGAGCCAATGGGAACACACTCGCAAATTCTGCTTGTCGCAAGGGTGGCTTGACATGACGCGTTTGGCAGGTTCGAACGCCTCCAAATTCAAGATTTATGGCGATTGCACCTGATGTCTTGCAGCCAGGGTGGTGGCCAGTCTGCAAGAAAAAAACACTACCCAAACACGATCTGCATTTTGCCCCCACGAGGTCCTACAAGATTCGCATCACGGCATGGCTGGCATGGAGATCGGAAGGATGAGGGCCTTTGCAGAGAGGTTGCGTGTCGCGAAGGTGGTTCCCTGTCACCTGAAGATACAATGGGGGCCGGTTGGACAAGATCAATCATTTGTCTTTAGTTCATCACTTAATTTCGGCGGCATTTGCTCACTGGCATTCTGCCAGGCCGTGGATGCTTTCCTGGAAGCGCAGGGTGTGCAGGAGTTAAGTTGCGCTTCAGTGGGTGGCACCTTGCTGGCTGCAATGTACTGATTGATCCATCAGCAATATGTGGGGCAAGTGAAGGTTCGGAATGCGGACAGTCCCAATCGATGCCACGTGATTCTCTGAACATCGGGTAGCGTAGCCCGAAAAAGCCAGGTAGTGAGTGACCTCGCAGGATCCGGCAGGCTTTGCCGAGTACACCTTCACCACGCAAGGCCGGCGCCTGCCCGCTGGGCCCGTCCAAAAAGCGCGCGCTCGCCTTTCTTTCGCTCCTCTGGCGTGAGGCCTACCTCCCTCTGGCGGCGAGCTCACGGCGGGGGCCGCGGGAGGGCTCTGAAAGGGAGGGAGCGAAGACTCGCAGACTTCTTTGCCGAGCTTGCAATTCCACCCCCCCCCATGGCAATTTTAAGTGAGTGCGACCAAACATGCATGTGTTTGGAGACATTGGGCATACATTTGGCCCAGGCGGACAGAGAGAGAGAGAGAGAGAGAGAGAGAGAGAGAGAGAGAGAGAGAGAGAGAGAGAGAGAGAGAGGGAGAGAGAGAGAAAGCAAGAGAGATCGAGAGAAGAAGAGGGAGGGGGAAAGAGAGCGAGAGAGACAGAGAGAGAGAGAGGGAGAGAGAGAGAGAGAGCAAGCGAGCAAGAGCAAGCAAGAGAGCGAAAGAAAGAAAGAAAGAAAGAAAGAAAGAAAGAAAGAAAGAAAGAAAGAAAGAAAGAAAGAAAGAAAGAAAGCAGGGAGGGGAGGGGAGGGGAGGGGAGGGGAAGGGAGGGGAAGGGAAGGGAAGGGAAGGGAAGGGAAAGGAAGGGAAGGGAAGGGGGGGGAAGGGAAGGGAAGGAAGGAAAGGAGGGAAGGAAGGAAGAAAGAAAGACAGAAAGACAGAATGACAGACAGAACTAAATAAAGAAAGAAAGAACAGAAAGAAAGGAATAAATAAACAAATAAGAAAGAAATACAGAAAGATATAACAATATAAAGACAGAGAGAGAGAGAGAGAGAGAGATAAAGAGAGACACAGAGAGAGCGACAAAGCAGGACGAAGCGCGAGAGAGAGAGCAAGAGGGAGAGTGAGAGAGAGAGAGAGAGAGAAAGAAAAACACAAAGAAAGAAACGATCAAAAAGAGAAAGCACAAAGAGGTAGGGACATAAAACAGAACAGAGGGCGAGAGAGAGGGACACAGAGCACGAGGCGGAGAGAGAAGAGAGAGAGGGAGAGGGAGAGGAAGAGGGAGAGGGAGAGAAAAAGATAGAGGGAGTCGCAGAGACAGAGAGAGAGAGAGAGACGGAGAAAGAATGGAAGTGAGAGAGGCTGACATCACAAGTGGCACTGCCTTGGAGACAGCCGCGATCTCAGTCTCTCAATTCGGAGTGCTAGATCCTTCCTGATGCGGTCGATGTCACATGTTGTTGGGCTGCGGCGCTCCCTAAAGTAGCTGCAAAAATATCCAAAGCTTTTCTTGGGCATATCTACGGCGGTCCTGTCTTTGAGATGCCAGCAATTCGGCGAGGAGTTTGTCTTCATCATGGATGGCTATGGCAGCGAGGATCGTCCACTGCAGATGCCCCGGGGGGGCGTCTCAGGGGAAAAAACAGACTTCAGCGGCCCGGGCTCAGGTCCTACCAGTTCAGCTACATTCAGGACTACGACTCTCCTTTCGCCACCAGCTCATTTTTTGCCCCCAGCTTTTTTTTGGGGGGGGATGTCGGTTTTGTTGCGATGTCGCGACCGGCAATCTCAGGCAGAAGCGGTGGAACTCACCATCCTGTACTCCGAGCGCAACTACATCAAGACAAGGTGGGACAATGTGTGAAGCAGTCCATGTGAGCCACAATCAAAACCCTTGGTGAAGGTTAGTATGGGATGGTTTCAACCATAAATGGGTGCAGTTATCCTTTTGACTCTTTATTTATATGGGACCATTCTAATCCCGATCGGTTTGATTGCGACTCATGTCAACTGTGGAAGCTTCCCTTCGAAGAAGTGATCCTTTAGCAAGGCGTCGGTCGCGTTCAGGCTGCCGCAAGGCGCTTCAGGGAACCAGTCCATGTTGAGAGTTGCCAGGGCCCAAGCGGCCCAGGAGCACCCATGGATCCACGCAAAACGACTGGAGTTGGACATTCAGGGCTCGAAAAGGGGAGTCCAGGGCTTTCTTTTGAGCGGCCTGTCCCTGCATGTTGGGCCTCTCGAAGCTCTTGAGATCGGCACCGTCAAGAGCGCGGTGGGGTCTATGGCGCAAAGCGCTCAGTGGCAAAGGACGTGGCTGAAAGGGAGCTGTCCCATGCAACTCCGACGTGGGACACCAGCTTGATTTTAATCCGGGGCCATTGACAGAACGAGGAGCCTGCCTTTGGAGGTTCGAGTCGTCGACGTTGTCGCCCTTGTAGGAATGCCTCGCGCAAACAGAGGATGTCATGATTGATTTGGGCAGTGCTCAAAAAAGCGAAGCCTTTGCAGTTGCATGCCGTAGACCTTCGCACATCCTTTCGCATGCTGAGGCAAGCATCTATCGACGTTTCAGTTTCTGCTCCGGCGGATGAAAGGACCGCGATCGACTCCTTCTCAACAAAGGCAGCGGATTTCTTGACTTGCTGGTGCTCAGTAGGGAATGAATGAACCTGATAAACCATGCCTTGTGGTTCCTTTAAGGGCCTAGGGGACCTCACAAGTTCATTCCCACATCCCCTACCTATCGCACCAGCAAGCTGAGTCGCGTGGCTTGGAGCAACAAAAATACGACCTGAAGAACCTCAGGTGCAGCAAGTGGACCCCGAGACTGCGATCTTGTACGCCACACTGTGCCTTGGATCACCCCACCCCACCCCACCCCAACCCAACCCACCCCACCCCACCCAACCCACCCCACCCCACCCCACCCCACCCCACCCCACCCCAACCCAACCCAACCCAACCCAACCCACCGCATCCAGCTTCCCTTTCACCAGCAACGGGCCTGCTGTCAGGCTTGCAGAGACGCCAGCCCGAATCTCGGGGAGTCATGTTCGGAGTGCATGTTTTTTGTTGTCCTTTTTTTGCCAGGCCCATTGAGCCATTGGCTTCCTTGGTTGATCCGCAATTGTTGCTGGACCTGTCTTGTGCGTGGGTCTGGGCAAGCCTCTCTGTCCTTTTGAGGGAAGGCGCAGGGTTCAGCAGGGTAGCCCGGGTGGCCCTTGTGGCCCAATGCCTGGCACTGTTCAGGCCACCACAGCAGAGGAGATCGCACTGCTGGCACAGGCAGGCTTTGCAACTGTGCTCAATTTCAGGATGCCAAGTGTTGACAATTTCACTAGGTGGTCGAAGGCAAGATGTTCGTGGCGGGCTCAGCCGGCCAAGCGATGCAACACCCCGAAGCCATACTCCACTGCGCCTTTAAGCGGAAACGCTGCTGGTCCTTAGTTCAAAGTCCAGGGGCCTTGACCTCGCGCTTAGGCCTCCAACAGAACTATTGCCAGGACGCCAGAGGTGCACATCCTGCGGGTTGCGCCAGTTGTGCGCGCGAGTCTTTTGTGGGGAACTGTGCGGTTGTTTGCATCAAAGGTAGTGTACATAAACGCGGGAGGGGCACAGCCGCAGATGGTGCCGCTGTGAGCTACTTATCATTGAGCAGCATTCCAAAACAGCCAACTTGAAAACAGCATCCCGAACCAGCGACGGTCTGCGTTTTGCAGCAGGCCTGCGAAATCACAAGCCGTAAGCCAGTAAGCCACACACACCACCGTATCCGGGTAAGCTCGGGTAGCTGGCTGGACAGCTCGTGCCTTGCGCGTGCCCGGCACGCGCGATGGGGATCCTAGCGGATGGCGCGCAAAGGGCGGGCCAGCCGGGTGCGGCCCAAGGCGCTGACGCTGGCAGAAGCGCCCCCCTTCCAGCAGCCAAGATGGAGCAGCTGCCAGCTGTCAAATGCAGATGGCGCGGTTGGGGTTGGCAAGCTGGGCCAATTTTTTGTTGCTCATGTTGGCATTCGTTTTGTCGGCGAGCAAGTTCGGGCAACTTTTTGTTGTTGCTCATGTTGGCCCTTCTCAAAGGGAAGCAATTCAAGGTGCCCGCCTGGCAGGCTTGGAGGTCTTCGGGCACTGCATGTTCGCCTCCGGTGATCGGATTTGGTGCATCGGAGGCTGCAGACAGCCGGTGAGCTCGGCGATCTCTCTGCTGGCGCTCGACTTGCGCTCCCAGACGTGGAGCGACCAGACGCCGCACACAGATCTGTACGACGCGCCGAGCTGGAGATGGGGCCACTCTGCTTGCCTCCTCCCGGGCAAGCCCTCGCAAACCAGATCGATGATTTTCTGCGGAGGCCTGGCCATGTTTCCCACCTTTACACGTGAGCATTCAAAGATTCGTAGTGTTGGAACCCGCAATATTTGGGCGTTGTCGCCTGCCTGATATTCTGGAGGAATTTGAAACAAAGCACAAACATGTGGGAACGAGAGAACCTGTTTTTGCTTTTGCGTGTGTTCGAGCCTTCGCCGCGTTATATAGTGTTTTCATGTTCTTGCATTTTCGCGCTCGTTTCTTGTTTTCCGTGAGTTTTCGCGTTTTCGCGTTTTTGTTTCTCCCTTTTTGCGGTTTTCGCCGGTGTTCGCCGCTTTCGTGTTTTTGTTTTCGCGGCACTTTCTTGGCGTTTTGACGCTCCCACATGCGAGCTTCCACACCGCCGAGGCGGGCTGAAACTGTGTCTTCGGCCTGCACACTTGGACCCTTTCAGTCGCTTTCAGTTGCACAACGCGTTATATCCTGAGCTGTTTTCAAGCTGACAGAGTGAAGGTAAAATGCTCTGCTGTCGTTTTTCGGCTTCCTTCGGAATTTGTTTTCGTTCTTGTTTGTTCTTGTTCTTGTTCTTATTCTTGACCTTAATCTTGATCTTGAGTCTGTTTGTTTGTTTGTTTGTTTGTTTGTTTGTTTGTTTGTTTGTTTGTTTGGGCTTGCTTCTTGTCAGCAGTCAGCGAGACATGCTGGACTATTCTTGTTCGCAGCCTGCAGGGTGCCTTCCGCAGCATGTTTGGCTGACTTTGGTCACTTCGCCGTCGTCGCGCCTACTTCAACACAACTACTGCCCCCGCTGCTGCTACTACTACTACTACTACTACTACTACTACTACCACTACTCCTACGACCCCGACTCCTACTTACTCCTACTCACTCCTACTTACTCCTATTCCGCTACTCCTACTGACTCCTACTCCTCCTCCTACTCCTACTCCTACCATCGTATTCATACTCCTGCTGCTACTCCTACTTGTGCTCCTACTCCTACCCCCGTCTCCTGCTACGACTACTGCTACTGCTACAATCATTATCACTAATGCTTCGGCTAACGCTATTGCTGATATTAAGCCATTTGCTGCTCTTGTCTGAGCGTAGGAACAGAACCAGGACTAGCAGCACTAGTAGCGCTACCACTGCAGTGACTACTGCTGCTGACGCCGGGGCCAGCATGAAGAGTCGCAGCACCTTCAAAAATGATAGGGCCTATTCAAGAAAACAAACCTCTGCCAGGTGCCCTTTGGCGATACAAGAGGTTTTGCAAGTTGCTCACGTTCGCGAAGTTTTGGTTCCGACTTACTAAGCTAACCCATACAAAATCGGAGGACTGGCATGTCCGTGAGCAGGACACCCTCCTAGAGGTTCTGTGCTTTGACACCTCCATCCAGGTACTAGTTGGCAACGCACGTTCGTTTGGGAAGCATGGTCCGTTGAGCAGAGTTGACCGTCGCTCGGTGGAAATGCGCAAAAACACTTCCCTTCCTTGTGCAGCTACGGGGTCATCAACCCCGCAACAAGTGAAGACCATGACAACGAGCAGTTTTGCTCGCAAGAAAACCATGCTTGGTGGCCTTTTCGTGCATGTTTTTTATTGCACTTTTGCAGTGTTGGGTGCCTGCCCGCACGCACCACGCCAGCTGTCCCTTCCAGTGCTGGGAACGAATAGTTACTCTCATCCTTAGGCGCCCTCCCCAGCCTGCTTCAGCGCTGCGTCAGCGAAAACATCTGGTTTTCATGCTATGCAATATCAAAGTCTATAATACTACAGTATCTGGCCTTTCTTTTATGATGACAAGTTCTTGGGAGTGACGGTTGCCGCATCAAGTTCGCGGCTATTTTTAGAAGAAGAACCCTTCGCAATGTTTCTGCGAAAAGAAAGCATTATATGTTGTATAATTCAAGCACTGTTTAGTGTAACTACTCTAGCTACTGAGTATATGTAAACGTCTGTTTTACCAAAAATAGTGCAATATCCAAAAAAAGAAACTAATCTTTCTGTAACTAAGTGTGTGTGTGTGTGCGTGTGTATTTACAAGACTTAGCAATTGAATTTGTTGAACGCAACAAAAGCAATAAGTTGTTTGGTTTTGGCTCGAAGAACCTTGGGTTTGCCTTGAAGGTTTTTTGCTATGAATGACCCACGCGTTCAATCTAGTCCGGAACCTGCTGGGGTTGCCCCTTTCTCAAATTGGACACTTTTTGGGAGTCACCATTGTGGGTTCTGCTCCAAGCCCCTTTTCTCACACATAACATATGCTCGATCGTTTTCATTTGCGCAGAATGCGCAAAGGAAACCCAGACCCAACTTGCTGCTTTCTCCCGAGTCGGAAGCCCAAGTCTTGCAAAACACCACCACTTTTGAGGGTTGAAAGCGGCACCCAAGGAAATCCACCAAAGTCACGGACCTTCAAAAGGACAAACGGATTCAAACAGATTCACGAAGTCTGGCCGTCATCGCCATGGTCAAAGGGCTCAGTCTGCGGTTGCCATCATGGCATCTCTCCCTTAATAGTGCCCCAAAGAATTTGGGCTTTCGCGAGTATAATGCTACCCAGTCACTGTCTCAAAAATACCTATTCATATTGATGCTTTGTTACTGCATATCGCCATTCTGTCACCTTTCGAGTGGGGCTGGGCTAGATCAGGTTTATCGAAACTAGTCCTTTGTACGGACTATGTAGATATCGAGATCGAACAGTTCGTGGTTTTTGGAACTCTATCTTCATCCCGATGAGCCCTGTACATGAGTTATGTGTGCTGAACCCGAGAAATCGTAGTTTGCGCAACTCTATTTTGAACTGGGTGAACCTTCTGAGTGGATCATGCGTGTCGAGATCGAACAAGTCGTGGCTTTGATAACTTTTTCCTGAAAACGAGACACCCTCCATATGAATCATGTATGTCGAGCTCGAATTCATTTTGACCGATGTCTCTTTGTTGTTTGTATTTGTGTTTTCACGTTTTGCTGTTTCGCGCTTTCGCGCCGTTTTCGTGCCGTTTTCGTGGTTACTCGCGTTTTCGCGCGGCATTCGGCGAAGACGGCGTGGACAACACACACGGGCTTTGTAAACCCTCGGCAATTTTTCGTGCCAGGCTTCGACTGGAACTGCAACCACGAGGACGTGTGGTGCTTCTGCCCCGCGGAGCGTGGGGAGGGTTTCGCCTTTTTCCGTCCGGCCTTGGACCTGCAGCGGGTGCCGGTCCGCGGGGCGTACCACTCCTTGGTCTGCGACGACTTCGCGGAGGAGTTGTATCTCTTCGGCGGCCAGCGGTGCGTGGGTGGGCCCTATCTCTTCTACGACCGCGCGGGCCTCAGCCCAGAGCCTGGTCGCCCGTCTCCCTCAGCGCCTCCGGGCCTGCGGGCTTCGGCGAAAAGCGAGCGATGGCGGTTGAGCAGAGGGTTCAACTCGGAGAGGGCTGGAAAAAGCAAACCGCATGCGTCTGGTGGCATCTGATTGCATCTGGTGGCATTTGGCATTTGGTGGGTGGCGGTCTGCGAGTGTTGTCAGCCGGCGCCGAGTTCGTTCTTGCGGCGCTTCCCTGCCTTCCAACTAAGGCGTCTTTGTCGCCCAGCTACAGCGCCACCGCCGTGGCTGGAAGGAGTTCCGCTCCATTCACCAGCTTCCCTTCAGGGGCGTATCTAGGCTTGTTAAGGGATCACTTGTCGCAGCTGACTTCGAGGATGCCCTGTGGTTTAGGTCACCAGGGAAACCAAGGGGACCGCACATAGGGAAAGGGCTGGTTGCATTTTGTGTTCTGGGTTCCGCGGGGTTTAGCCTGTGAACTTCTACATCTGAAGCAGACTTTGTGACTGTGGCGAGTTTTACCGGCACCGGATGCTTTGAGGATGGGAACGTTTGGCAGATTTGTCTAATGTCCCTATCATCTAGCTCTGCGGATTCCTACTAGCTCAACTTCTGATGCTCTGAGCATCCCCTTCTCCACGGGCGTTCTCTTGCGTACGATGTGGATCACTTGAGTCAGCGTAGAAACTTCAGAGTGGTGCATGCCGACTGACGATCTTTCAAAGGAATCCCGGAATGACCCAGAAACCCTGGCGTGGGTATAGGATGGGTGGCAACCCGAAAGTAATCGAGAATCGTCAATATAATATTGCCGGTCCTTGAGACGCAGGAGATGAACACTGCAGTAAGGGGTGATACGCTGATTGTCGCCTGAGTGAGTTCTGAGCACACATC